TGGCAGCTGTCCCCGGGGCCCTGCCCACATCTGGCCCGTGCCAGCCAGCTCTATTCACCGCGTGGTGCTGGAGCGGGGATTATCGGGCCACCCTTTTAAAGGGCTCTCAACCTTCTCGGAGGCTTTCGTACTCACTATGAGCAGAGCCTGGAGCCGGAGGCCTTGATGGTTTGTCCTATCCTCTCGCGGCCGTGCTTTATAAGTTCTGCAAGAAAAGTTGGAAAACCTGAGCCGGCATGCTGGCGGCACAATCACGAGCGCACAGAGGCACGTTTGTTCCTCGCTGACCTTGCTCTTCTCTCCACAGCCACCCTCCTCCCCGCTTCCACCCACATACCAAAATAACCAGGAAATTATAGGAACCAGGACACCCTCCTACCCCCACCGGGAGCCCACAAGAGTTCGTAGGACAGGGAAAAGCGCCACCAAACGGACACCCTCTCCTAGGGCAGGCAGACGGACTTGCTCTAAAACACCCCCATCAGGCCTCCCTGAACTACACCCCTGAGTATCCAGGAGGGAAAAGGAGAGTGCTCACAAGGAAGATGTTGTGCTGGGATACGTCACACTTGGCACATCCACTGTCCCTTTCATTCAGGGCTCTCCGAGCAATTAGGGACATGAATGAAACCTTTCAGGGCCCTGCAGGAGGTAGGCCAGCACATACCCATCGCGGCAAATAAGTGACTTGCCCAAGGACACGCAGCAAGGATTCCCAGCAAGAAGCGCCCCTGTGCTTGGCTGCACAGGCCAAGGAAAGCAGGTGGCTGCCACCACCCATCTTCACCCCTCGCTTTACAGAGGAGCAAAACTCTGAGCCTGCTTCTCACGGCATGGGAAGAGCAGGAGAAAAACCCTCAACACAGGTTGCATTTTTGAGGAGTCCCTCGTTTTGTTTAGTGGTAGATAAAAAAAGTATTCAAAGACTCATTTCTCATCCTCTAGTTCAGCCCTAGTTTGGCCACTGGAAGGAAAGAGAAAGAATCAAAACATGCACAGAATCACGCACATCTTCAATTTAGTTTTAAAAGGTGCTTTTGTGGACATGAGCAAGATGTCACATTGGACAGAGAACCCAGCAGCACTGGTTGTTGCAGCCCATCTTCCCAGGCAAGGAGTCTGTTGGACAACAACAAGTTTTGAGGTAAACACAAGCCCGAGACCATTTGCAGAGCCCTTCCCCTACTGGTCTGAACTGGAGCTGGGGCCTGGCAGGGAGCTGGAATAAGCATGCTCCAGAGAGCTGCTAGCCCAGGCGCAGATCTGATGAGGAACAAAACCGGGCAGCAGCTTTAGAGTTTGACTAACATTTCTTTTCTAAATAAAAAAACCCACAAACCATCCAGCAAGCGAATTTACAACATCGGGGAAGTCACCAAGACACTGACCTTGTCCGATGCCTTGCCCTGCAGCAGGGCAAGAGCTTGTCCCAGCAGGCACCCACCAGAAAGGGCAGCACAAAGGCAGCTTCCCACACCGAGATAAATCAATCCCCTTCCTCTCAGCATAGTCCTTATTTCTCCCACAGTCTGTCTCGCTGAATTACCAAGGTCTACTGAAGGTCACCCAGCGCCTGCCTAAGGGCTGTGTCTGTCCCACAGGCTGGTCAGACCTAAGGGATATCAGCCCTGTTGTCTCTGAGCAGGCAACACTAACCCAGAGCACAGTGATGGGAAGGAGACTGGGACGGGGGCCAGCTGAGCGCACACACACGTGCGCTTGTGGAACAAACAGTAAGCTGCAAACAGCATTTGACGGAGGGCTATGGAGGAGGGGGTCCCTTGCCCCCAGCCCAAGAGCCCCTCACCAACCCAACAAAGCCTAAGCAGTTTGACCACTTCACCCCTGCTCTGTGCACATAGCTCTGTCAGCAGATACAGCCTGTCCTCCAGCTTTGGTCCCCCCCAAGCCTGTTTCTGGTCCCAGATTCAACTTGCTGCCATGGACTCTGTCTGATCCCAGACTTTGGGCAAGGGGAAGGTGATGACTCCCTTCAGGGGCACGTGGGCATTTCAGGGCTTAGGTCTCTCAGAGAGCAGGTGAGCAAGCCACGGCAACCCATCCATCTAGCTTGGAGGTATTTGCTGGCAGTGCAGGATTCAGGACCAGCTCACAGCTTGCTTTGCTGGGCTGAGCAAGTATTGCGGCACCTGGTTTGGCGACGTCTTCCCAACCTGCAGCAAGGCAGAAGCAGCACTGCTGAACAAAGACTGGGTAGCCCTTACAGGGCCACGGCGCCTCTGGCTCATTCATGCTTTCCTCCACTAGCCCCCTCCTGCTCCACTGTTTATTTACTGTAAGTGAAACTACTCAACAAGTCCCTGCTGACCAAGGGCAGCGTTTGCAACAAAGCTATTTCATTAAACGTACCTGCTCTGAAGCAGGAGTCTCTCCTTCTGCACTGAAGTCCCATGCACATTTTTGTGATATACATATCCCCATCTTGTATCATGTACTAGAGAGACTAAGAGCCACCTTCTGCACCCTGCAAAGCTAGGGTAGTTCCTCACTGCTCAGGAGATTTAAACCAAACAGGCTTTTTCTTATTGCTAGCAAATCCTACTCCCCTTAAAGCATGAAGATTTTCTCAGTGCACACACACAGAACAACAGAATCAGAAATAGGTCAGGAAAATACACTGGAATACTTGGTTATACATGCCCGGCTGCATCCCTCATTGCTCCTGCTGGGGCAGCAGGGACGCTCCAGGCATGGCCAGGGCCACAGAGCACAACAGCAAACAAGTCCAAGTTTCATGACACGATGTGACCATTACGCTCCAGGAACACAGACCGTTGCAACCCCATACACAAACACACCCCCCCGCTATGCTTCTCAAAGACCTCTACACGCCACACACGGGCCAGAGGCACCTCTAAAGGCAGGAGGCACCAGCTCGCACAACATAAGGCTGCTACTTACAAGTTGGAGCAGCTACTGTAGCTGGATCCCCCCCCCCCACAAAACCCATCCCTCAGTAACATACGTTTTCTTCACGGCACAGCACCAGCAGCTCTCTCTTCCTTCAACGGTTCTGCCAGCAGTGACCCACATTCCCACGCTAGCCCTGCGTTATTTGCTACAAACACATTACTAATGCAATGCGTACCTTGCACGGAGAGGCAACCTCATAGACTCGTCATGTGCAAGCTGCCTCCCACCCTCCTCCCTGATGTCACTGCTCTCGGCACTGCTTCCTACCTAACCTAGATTGCAAACCCCCCCGAGCTAGTGCCTCGTCCGCTCCCTCTCCGGGAGATGCTAGCTGCCAGCGCAGAAAGGCAGTGTGGCCTGGCAGGCTGTTATTGGGACAGCAGTCAACATTTTGAAAGTAGCACAGGGTTTAGAAGGGCAGGGTTGGGAGATAAGCACCTGGAAGAGCCCATAGGTTTCATCCAGCACAGGGCTGCATGAGGCCTAAGGGGGGGATGCCCCAGTTCCAGCTCAGAGAAGGAGCACAGAGAAAGGACAAGGAAAGGATGACATCAGATGCGTGCTTTTACCCACCAAAGAAAGCTCAAGCTTTCTCCTGCCACAAATCTGGGAGACTGCAACCTCTAGGAAACCCACACTGAGCTCCACTTTCACCTCCTCAAATGTCCTCTTAGGCTACAGGGTTCCACTAAGCTAGCTCAGAAAAGGGTTAAGGAAGGCTTCAAGGATTTCTTCACTTGTGGAAACATGCTTAGCTGCAGAAACATGCTTAACATGCATGCGCCCTGCAGAGCTTCTAGCTTGCCCAGTTCTTGCTTGAGCATCCTTTCCCTCCACTGAAGGGAGAATGCACACCAGAGAGGGAAGCCCAGCTGAGCAGCCCAGTCTCTGAGCAAGCCAACATACAAGCAGCCCTCCAGGTTTTAAAGGAAAGCTGCATGCAAACCTGGAAATACAGCCAGGTGGCTAAAACTTGCAGCATTTCCAAAAAAAAAAAAAAAAAGTCTCACGAAAATAGAGAGCAAAGCATCAAACACACCTGGGAACACATCTACCAGCAAAGCCTGTGTCCGGAAGCATGAGAAGCAATCCACGGCAGGGGGGCACGGAGGTACCTCATCCCCTACACTTCCCATCCTTGCTCTAGTCCACCTTGCAGCCAAACACCCTTCCACGCTAGAAGCCCAAGGCCATTTCCTAAAACCCAGGGAGCAATAACTTTGCTGCCCGCAGCAGTTCATTTAGCCCACAAACGTTAACACTCCCACACTCTTCAGGCAACTGTGCTACTACTGCTCTGCAGCCCTTTAAAGAGAGCCAGAAAAGCTGATCAGCTGCTAAAATGAAAAAGCACCTGCTAGATATACCCAAGGGCCCAAAATTTAAGTGGGTGGTGGTAATTTTGAATGAGGAGGGAGGGGTGCAGGTGGTGGTAGGAGCCAATTATATCCTGGCAGGCATCTCAGGTGGAATTAAAACAATTTCTTACACATTTTAGTAATCCATAACTTTGTCCACTGTCACACATGGTTTGGAGGAAGGTTAAAGCTATCATCCGGTTCAGGTCAAACTCAGAGGAAGCTGCTCCTTCCAGCATCTGCCACTGACCTTCATGGCAAACAAGGAAGATTGCAGCCTACGGTGGCCAGATTGGCATTTTGCATGAGTATTAAATGCAAACATAAACACCTAGGGAGGGGAAAATCTGGTGCTGGAGGCATGCCATTGGAACAGAGACAGAACAGAGACTGAGCTCTGAGCAAAAGGACAAATTAGAAAAGGGCTGGTGTCTTGTCTTTCTCTTCATAAAAAATAAAACAGCCTCTTTTTGCTTGCATTGTCATTTCCTATAAAATCTCCTTCATGTGGCTACAGCAGGAGAAATGCCAGCCTACAACGGGGAGGGGACTTGCCTTGTTTTTGAGCAGAGCAAGTGAAGTGGTGAACGCAAGGCAATAAAGGCTGTGCAGCCACTGCAGCGATCCAGTTAGCCTTCGCTACTGGGAGTTAAGGGGCCAGTCACTGCTGGACATGCCTCTTGCCCCAAACCCCAGCTACCAGGAGGAAAACATTTATAGAGAAAGCAGCCTTTACAGCTACAGAGACTAGTCTTCTAGATGTCCATAACTGATACAGTCTTGAGCCTGATAAAAAGCCCAATGTTACTGCAAGTGACAATGTCTTTTAGTTTTCAGTGCTCATCACCATGTATAACAAGAATGGGGAAGCACGATGTTGCTTGAAATATTGTTCTCACTCAGTTACAGCTTGAAGCTTTTGCTCAGCCGGCATCCTAAAGCTATTAGCATTATCAGATTTTAACATCTTCTATTACATTTTTATATAGGAACATTAATACAGGAATATTTTTCTCCATTTTTGCCTTTATTTGAATTGGAATGATCAGGTTTCGGAAAACGTTCTGGCTTTCAGCAGCTAACTTCCATTTTCAAATCAATATCTTCTGCTTTTGTTTCTTTCAATGAAAGCCTCAGTACTGTTGACAAAAATCTATTTCATTTTGTGTTTTCCACAGCAAGATATCTTTAATTAAAAGCCCATTTTCTATCCAATGAAGAGAAAATATAAGGCTTCTGGAAGGAAAAGCTTTTACCAGTTAGAATATATAAAGTAAGTAAGCTAGACCGTGGTCAGTGATGATGAGATACAGTGACGGAAAAAGTGGTAGTTAGGCTGTGTCTGGGCTCCTTATGTCTACAAGAAAAATACACTGTCCAAAGTCAAAAGTGGGGGCCAGGGACCAAGCCCCAAGCCAAACAAGCCCATCTGGGAGCCGTGCAGCAGGGGATATCAAGGACTTCCCATTGCCACCATGGGCTCCGATGAGGACAGGCTTGGAGGCTGCCAAGCATAAGGTGATGGCCGGCCTCCTCTCTCCTCCTCCTCCCTGCCCTTGCAGTCCCCCAGCAGTTATCAACGCCGCATCAGCCAGGAGCATTACCCTTCGTCTTCCCCAGGGCTGTGGAGGAGGGCTCCATCCAGGTCGTGTACATAAAGACTGCTGAAATTGCTGCTTCTCCCTACGGCTCGGGCAGGAGTTCAGCGACTGGCACCAGGCGACCGGCTTGGAGTCCTCAGGAGGGCAGGCGCACCACAGCCCTATCCTTTCTTCTGCTGCAAAGATGAAGGTCATGTCTTACGCAGGTAAGAAAGAGAGCAAGTCCTTGGGTTTGCAGCTGGCTGCCAGCCAGCAGAGCAAAGTGAGCTGCCACGTTCTGGACATGGGCTCTCAGACGTGGCAGCCTCCTCCCTGACAGTTCTGTGGTCACCCCAACCCCATATGTGGCTACAGAGAGGTCTAGTGGAGATCAAGGTGCTCTGCGACTGCCCTGGTGGGAAGCTACTTGCGTGGGCCTCTGCTTCCCACTCTTTAGATTACTTTGTAAAGTGTTTTGAGGCTCGTAGGTGCACGCCACTAGATAAGAGCTGGATGTAATTAGGTAGGTGTTTGACTTCTGTCCAATGGAAAAAGCTTACCATACCATTGCTAAATTCACAGGTTTCTGCTCTCGGGAGAGGATTTTGCTACTTAACGCTTTTGAGGAGCTGAGGTCAAATTCGTCCTCCGCATATCTGTGCTGACTGCCCAGGGAGGGATGGCTCCCCAGCACAGGAGAACGTGTGCTCTGGGAGCACAAGGAGGCGCTGAGAGCCGTACACCCCCAGCATAGGATAGGCTCCCGTTTGGGGAGTCACCATCAGGGCCCAGATGCCCCTAGACTGCTGGTACAGCTGCTGCGAGGCTTGTCCTGGAGAACCTCATGGCATGGAGAGGTGTCCTGGGCAGCGGCTGTCCTCATGATAGGTGACATGACTGGGACAGAGGGTAGATGTGAGCAGGGCTAGACTCTAGCATGATTCCCACCCGGGAAACCACCAGTGTGTGCAGGTGGATGAGGCTTTGCTCCTCATCCTGCCCCTGCACACCCACGAACACATTCTGGAGCAGCCTGCAGCCCTGGGCCAGCAGCTCTCACCCCCTACATAGCTCCCCACTGCCTCTTACCCACAACCAGACACATTGGTGCCACACTGAAGGGCAGGACGGGCTGCTGGATGTGGGAACACTTGCAGAGCATGTGTGCTATATGGGTGTTCAGACCTGCTTCCCCAGATATATCGCAGGGCATGGTCGTGCACTGGGTGCTGGCACAAGCCCTGGCAGCTGGGTGATGGCTGGAGCGCACCTGCACTTGGGAGCTGCGTCAGGCAGAGGTGGCACCCCGTCCTCATCTGTCAAGGTGGGATTCTGCACCAGGTCCAGAGCACAGGGCCACCACAGGCCAGGAGGACAGCCCAGGGCAGGCGAGGGACAGCAGAGGCTGACCAGTGCTCCATGAGTCCCAGCAGCTCCTGCTGGTGCTACCAGCAGTTAAGTGCAGGTACTCAGCGCTGAGCCCCCGTCACCCGCACCAAGGACCCTCATGGTCAGAAGAGAAGGCTACCTCAGCCCAAGCCCTGGAGGCAGAGACCAGCATGCCCTGCGTCTCCGCACGGCCCCTGCTCTCATGCCCTTACCTGGGACTAGGTTTAACCCATTTGCAGCCCAGCACCCAGCAGGTTCCCAGGGACTGAAACGCTTTATCTCTTATAAGCTGTGTCTGTCATCCATCCTGCTGAGGAACAGTACAGTTTGTGGCTTGCCTGGAGCAATGGGAACCCAGGGTGGGAGACACCAAGACTGTATCTTCTTCCCCTTTGATACAGGCTGGGAACCAGAGGAGGAACTAGGCTTTTTAATGATTAAACAACGCCTGCAATTAAATATTGACCAGCTGAGCTCTACTGCAGCATGGCAGCAGGCCGAGGTGGAAGTCGCTTTAGGGTTGCTGACACTAGGCCCCGACTCTGACGGGCCAGGAGACTGCATCAGGGTTTCGAAAGAGACCCCTGCTCACAGAGTACATCTTGGCACAGCTTAAACTCATTTCCGAAACAAAATTGAATTATTTGGGTAAAGCCGGAGGCCAGCTTATGTCGGCGTTAGGGTTTGCCAGCATTGCTTTGCCCTTTGTGTGGGGCGGATGTTTCCCTGCCTTCCAGGGAGCATATCTGCGCCAGCTCTCGCTGGAGGTCGGTCCAGAGGTGATTAGCCGCTCTTAGATGGTTTAACCCCTGCTGTGCACATGGCGCCTGCCACGGCTGGGCTTCATCAGACCACGGTGGCAAAGTCAGGCAAACTGTCTGGGAGCAAGCCGCGGCTACAGAAAGCCGATTTTTCGGTTGCGCTGGGGTAGCGCAGAGCCTCTGGACGTTGCCAGAGCTTGGAAACACTTTCCCTTGCACCTCCGGGAGGGGAAAGCTGCCTTTACATTCCCAAACGCTAGAAAGAAACGAACGGTGGGGCATGCGGATCCTCCGCGCTGCTGAGCTTCGGCCCTCCTGGCCGGACCGGCTGCTGCCGCTCTCCCCTATGGAGGCTGCATTTCTGCCTGCTCCAGGGCAAGACGTTTCTGATGGACAACGGCCCCAGCCCACACACAGAGAAGCACCTCCTCTCCCTCTCTCTCTCATTGCTACTCCGTTTTATAACCTTTTGTATGCTTTTCAGCTATTTTAAAATGCTGTCCTGTCTTAATCTCTTTATATACCAATATCCATAACCATAATCATAAATGTATCACTGCAGAGGAACTACACAGTCCTGAGCACTCGGAATTGCAGGGAAAGGTCCAGATAAGGCTAAAACAAACATTTCCCTAGAGAGCACAGTTTTCTTCAACTTGCAGTGAAAGCTGACCTCAAATGCTTAAGGCACTACTGGGAGATGTTTGGCTACTCAGTTATCTGTGTTTTGTAAGGAATAGAACAGCACAGCACAGCACAGCTCTTTAAAAGGTCTCAGCCTATTTCCTCAACTTTAGAGGATTCAAGAAAGACTAAACAGATTTTTGGTGACCAATTGGGGTTTTTAATTTTTTTTTTTTTCCTTTCTTCTCTCCCCTTCTCTTTCAGCTTCAACAAGCAGGGCTCTGCCCAAGTTATCCCCCCTTGATTTTGCCAAGGAGTCTCACACAGGTGCTGGGAGGTTTTCCATGTTTTAGTGAAAGGAGCCAGGAGGAGAACGCTCTGGCTCAGGTTTCTGTTCCACAGGGCCGTCGTGACCAACACTTGCTACTTTCTGTGCCTCAGTTGCTACAACTATGAACGTGGTAGAACATCACTAATCCCTTTTGTAAAGCCTTTAACACCTTCAGAGGAAAATACCAGCTGATCTTATTACTACCATTAAATTAGTTAGCTAGGACTTGCTCCCAAGTGCTTTTTTTTTTTTTTTTGAAGTGTTGGCATAATCTCAAAGAATAAATAACAGAGTTGGAAGAAGCAGCCAGACTCTAAACATCTCCTCCTCCGCCAGCTGCCCAGGCCAGTCCGCGGGTGATGTTGCAACTCTCCCGTTTGCCATTTTCTCCTCCCCAGCAGCATTTTGGAATAGCAACAACAGCATTTGTTGCTGTGTTACAGCCTAAGTTTTGGGAGCTTTCTTAACAAAACATGGGGCATTTTGAGATAAATTCACCTGTAAGTAAATCTGACACATGGTGCACATGCAGGGCTCCTGCCCACAGCTCGAACCTTCAGGTGTGACCAGCATGACAGGGACGAGGGCAGAGAGGCAGTTTCCTGGCAGCATCCTGGGTGGACTGAGCAGGGCATTACAGCTAGGAGATAGCTCCTACAGCTACACTTTGCAAAAAAACAGGCCTCCGCTCTGCTGGCACGGCACTGGGTTTGTCAGGAAAGCTTGTGGATGGAGCATCCCCAGGAACGCCGACCCGACCACCTGCCCCCAAGACTCTGAGCTAAGCCCCCATCCTGCCCTCTGCCCTGCTCCTTCCCTTCCCCACAGGAATGGGGATCTGCCATGGAAACCTGGGGAAGCAACTGGTGCTGGCATGGCAAGAGATTATCTCCAACAGAGTTAAACAGTGAAATACCGGATCCCGCAGCAGCCCAGTCCAAACTGGGTCAAGCGCTGGTCAAGGAACTATCATGGGCTGTGAGCCTCTGTGCAAAAGCAGTAACTGTTGGGTTAAAATCCATCCAGTCACCCGATACCCTCTGAATAAAACAACAGAAAACATAGGTTTGTGCATGTAGCCAGTCCTCAGCT